TTTGAAGCYCTGAAAATATTGAGGATATGGATATTTTCCGATTATTACCTCCCAATCGACTTTATTGTCAGGGACATCTTCTCTCTTGATAGTCGAACCAGGGTAAGGCGAAGAGCGTGCCTTGTGGTGAATAAATTCAATGGTTGTAGCTGAGGCTGAAGAGAAAGGGAATACAAATTCATTTTGAAATCTAACTTGTTTGATAAACCCGCATATAAAAAGGTGAAAAAWCTCAATTAGACAAGCTCAAAAATAAGTATACAAACAAAAACAAACAAATCGAAAGAAAAGCTCGAAATTAAGCAAAATTTTGAAAACAACCAGAACAACAACAAACACTTATATAATTAAGACTGATCGATAGCAGCAACTGTAGCGACCTACCTGGTGGACGTGGAACACTATTACCCTAAACAAAAAAAACAGAATTAAACAAAGACACATAAGTACAGAAAATCACTCAGTTAGATACATTTAATAGTATTCTTTTTAAAACAACTCACGGCTTCAAGTAGCTTTAATATTTTTGACAGCATCTCGTTGTTGCTTGTCAAGTTTACTTCTAGTCGACCCAGTCTCCCGTCCGTTGATGGATCACCTGACTGGACACTTTCTTCGACTGACGGTGCTATCTTCTTCTGCGGGTCCAGCACGTTATCCATCAGCCGATCAAGCTTGTTGGCCATGTTGTTTACCCTAAGAATAGACACATTATACTAGGATTCAACAAGAAAGCATGTTATTTCCATATGGTATGCGGGTTGGTTCCTTAGTATTGTGTTTTTTTTCTTTGTGTTTTTTTTAATTACCTCTCTCCGAGTGCTTTGACGCGTTCTTCCAGCTTATCACTGGTATCTGCCTGTGTCTGATATGAAAACGTTTCGGCAGCTTGAAATTCCCAGTTGTCAATTTGCTCCATTTCCATGCCAGTAAGAGTTAATTCTAAGATGAAAATATGAAAATATGTAATGCAAATATGCATCAAAACAAAACAAATAAAAGCAAAGCAAATTAAAGCAAAGCAAGGAAAAGCAAAGCAAAACAAATTAACAATTCACTAATTCCGTAACTAGTTTGGTAACTTACTCATAGAGCTTCCTTTAGGTGGATTTCCACATCGACAGAGCTGCCAAATCCAGCGAATAAAGACAAATAAATGACCAATCAGAATCAACGGCGGTGAGAATATTGGTCTGCTATGGTATTCCTGGACCAGATCATATCGCTGGAATTTCCATACTTTATCCGAGTCTTCTTGAATGAGTTCAAATGTGTAGCTAAATAACAAATAACAACACATTCATTTTAACTTAAAAAAACATACAGCAATAGAATTCTGAACCTCACTACTTGATTTTCAATGCATTGTGGGATCAGTTTCAAGAGAAAACAAAAGAAATCCGCCATGTTCTGTCCCAAACATGTCCTACAATGCATTGCGTATACGGTACATGACGTAAAAGCTGAAGAGGTCTATTATTATCTATAACAATAAACCTTGCTGCATTACATATGGCCGCCATCTTGAATCACGCCAAGAATGTATGGTATGCACAGGAGCGAATATGAAAAAATATCCAAATGCAATTGCACCCCAATTTCACACGTAAAACTATCAAGGAAAGCAATGAATTCTATATAAAACAATTTGTACATTTGCATATCCTATAATTTCATCATTTTGCAAGACGGCAATCGTATATGGAGTCGATCGACGTGCTACTAAAGACGCTAAGACGATTTTTTCCTCCGTTTATATTCTCTCTGGTGTATAGCACCTTTAAAGTACTTTTATTTGAACGATATCTCTCTTTCTTAGAATTTTCCGTTACCGTGTGTATAGAGGTATTTTAATCTTACCTAAATATGGCAATGAGGAGATTCAAAAGCAAGACGTTTGCCAATAACATGAACAAAGCCAACAGCAAAGGAGAAATTTGCTTGCCAGTCGGTGACACTGCACCAAAATCACCGGGCTTTTCACCTGCGAGAGAAACATAACAATAGTCATGCATATAGTTGAACAAAAAGGACAAATCTTATCTCATATTTTTCTTTTTTTTCTTTCTTTTTCGTTGACTTCAACGTGTCTTTAGTCTTGACGCACTCAGACAAATATTATGTTTGTGAAATCGCTGATGCACAAACAGAACTCTTTTCGCTTCTTATTCCGCAAATTATGTATGCCAACTATTTTCTGTAGGGTGAATTCGACAAGAATCTCGTTACCTTTAATTTCGTCCAGGAAGAGTTCACCATACATCTGCCAGTAGGGTAATTCCAACACTCCTTGGATGGATTTCCAGGTGTCATTACGTGCAAATTCACCTGGCCCAGGAAACATAATTGCCTCTAAGGATATCCCGTATGCAATTAAGAACACGAGCAGAATTATGACAAACTGCTTCAAATCATCCATCTAAACACACAAGACATTACATTTATAATCGAACATTTGAAAAGTAACTGAAAAAAAAAAAAACGTCAAAGAGCCATCATAGAACCTAAGACAGAAGGAAAGCTTGGGAAGACAAACAATTATGCTATTAAGCTTATACGAGAAGACATTAATAGTCCAGGTAGCGTGTGTGAGATAGAACACTGCTATATGCATAATTAATCACTGGAAAAAATCGCGCACTTTTAAAAAAGGTTAGTTTCCAAAATGATTTAAATTTGATATAAATCATTTACATCAAATTTACAACCTTTAAAAGTGCGCGATTTTTTCCAGTCAATAATCGCCTTCCCATACTCCCTTTCGGTCTTGCATTCGAAGATGTTACTTTTTGAATCCCACTCGAATTTTTCAATTTTAAGTGTATTCAATAAGTTTTGTTAAACAAGTTAGGACAACAAGAGATTTCGACGTTTCGACGCCATCGCGCGTCATTTTCAAGAATAATTTATTAGATCGATCACTACAGTTTTTATATGTTATATGATGATGATTTTTATATGTTATTAAGTGTATTTAACAAGATTATAATCTAACTCTTATGATATATAGCAACATATGCTGTTATAAACATTCGGTGATTCTTTCTTAAATAAAAAGTGGAGAACGACAACATACCATTTTTCTGATCATGACAAGTCTGGGACCAAGRTGACGATTGACAGAAAAAATTTGCAAGGATCGCGCAATRAAGATGATGATATCCAAAGATAAAACAATGTGTGCAGCAGTGAAAGTGTCTTCAAAGAAACGAAGAGCAACCGCAGTGAAGAATGCCACAATCGATAGAATATCAACAAAGTTCCATGGATCACTKAAGTATATACTGATTTTATCCCATATTGACTTGGGAGCCTTGGAAGCCAGCTAAAATGATACAGAAATCCCTCCGTTAATTGATCGTTTTAAACTATTGCCATGAGATTCAAAAGACTAAAGACAGGAGGCCATGTTGGAGGAATGAACAATAGATACTAATGAGAAATCCTTTGTTGAAGTTCCTCCAAGATGGCTGCTGTGACGTAACGAAGAATATACAATTACAATTGTATATCATTTTCAAAATAATAATAATCATCAWCAACAACAACAACAACAACAACAGTAACAGCAACAGCAGCAGTAACAGCAACAACTCAACAACAGGATCAACATAATAAACACGATATTATCCCTGTTATACTAAAGTTTACAAACCATCTTTCAAGCCTGAGGACATTGCACAGAGTAACAGTAGCATATTTCGTAATTTCATTAATGAAYTCCCAAAATGTTCCAAATGAAAAACTTCCGCTGACGATCACCGATTATTGTACACACCTGTCGACATTCTTCGATGAAAATCGAGAACACCCAAAAGTACAGCAATATCTCGACAGCAGAAATTCCTCCCACCGTCTTGTTTTCGTCAAATTTTGGAAAATTCATCATTATCACGTAAGCGTACAGAAGGATGAAAGCCAGGTACGAAACCTAAAATACAACAATGTTTAGTGGTTTAGGAACTTATTAGGAACTTATTTCATATTAATTGTATATACATTTTTATTCAAAATCTATGCTCGCATTGTATTTGTTGAGCGCTATCAGTCTATTCATCGGTTTCAACCATTCCAATGAGAGTAAAAAAATAAAAGAATAAAGTCAGAAAATATTTTATTGTCCACTTGACTAAGCGATGGTACTTACCACATTGCCAGCAAATTTAGTAAACGGCGCAGAGTAAAAAGCATAAATTCGCTGACAAACGCTGAGGTTTTTTGATCGTAACATGACTTCCATGGAATCGTCTGGACGAATCTCTGAAAAACGAAACAAAATAAAGCATTAAAACAACCATTCAAACAAAATGAAGTGATCCACACAAATATCCAATTTATTAATTATATCAACCTGGGATATATTCCTCTATAGCAAAGTGACCGTGGTCTGCCTCGTCTTCTTCCTCRTCTAATCCTACTTTGGCTTCCTCATCAATGGAGGKTCGAKTATCRGTCTTTGAGCGATAAGTGGGCACTACWGCTCCGTTATCATGACGAGATGCTTCYAAAGACTGCTTATGTCTTCTTTCAGCTTCTTGACGCTCGTGGTGCTCGTCGGGAACGAAATAGATGATTGGRAATATAAGAAATGGGACGAACATACATAACATCACCTGGGAACATAAAWGGCATGTTTTGATTCAGTCTTTACGATCAATAGTYCTTATGACGTCATATATAGCAAAGTGCATTATGGTATTGATGGAATTATCAAGATGGCGGATCTTTTTAGAAATAGAGAGGAGCARATTTCTGCCCGAAATAAACGTTACTCGATGTTAGAAGAACCGTTAATACCAAAACACCACCGAAAGTCGCGTGAAGTCATAAGGCGTAAATAACACAGTAATCTTGTATGAAGCAGGAATGCTACGAAAACGTGCGACTACACGCAGAGWATGGTGAGAAATTACCTTAAAAGACGTAGTGTTCATTGCCATTGCACCCATCCACAGACGAGTCAACAGCACTTGGCAAGCTGTATGAGAAATGAAGTTTTGACTGTCGCCAGATACTGCCAGATCAAGACATGTAAGATGTCCAAAATGTTCCAGCTCTCTGACCAGCAGAGTCTGGGATAAAGTTTCATTTTCGCCAAAACACTCGTCCARAACACCTATGGCTCGTTCTTCAAACATCCTGGAAAGATAAATGCAAAAGAAATTGAAGAATTGAAAAGAAGATCTGCAATACTATGTCATAAGATACACAATGGAAACGTCAAATATCAAAACAGATGGTAGTGTAGGAAGATAAAGAAATAGTAACTGAATGAAGAAAGATGGAGGGAAGGAAGGAATCAATGGACAAAAAAAAAGGTTAGATGGAAGAAAACAGAGATTAAAAGAGGAGTGAGAAATGGGAGAGGAGTTTCAGGATGTCAGGAAGAAAGGAAGCAAGGCAGGAAGGAAAGAGGGAAGAATTAGAGAATGGATGGAAATGGGAAGAAGGAAGACTGCTGTTTACACGACACAYAATACTTACTTGGCATGTTCGTTAAGATCTTGACTGACATCGGTAATAGTGTCATCACTGTGCGCTTTATTAGCCAACGAGCGAAGTAATTTACATGCCATTAATGCAGCAGCAACGGGCTGTCGACCAGCTTCCCACAAAACCCTGGCTAGTTCCCTTCGATTGCACAGCACAGCCCATAAAAAGACATCTCGATAAGGCGTTGGTATTGGATCGATTAGATTAATATTATGAGCTGCAAAGACAAGATGTTTTTATATTAACAGATTCATCCATTGAGTTTGTAAAAAMTCAAGTAAGTATATAAAGCTAAGAGAGCGTGTCAGGGAAAAATCAAGGATAAAGATTAGAGGAAAAGACAATTCTTGAAATCTATTTCTAAAACTCGATATGAATTTTGGAGAATTAGAGATTACTTACTAGAAGCCGGCTGCATWGACGATCTRCTTAGCATCCTCTTYAGAGACATGGAACCGAACTTTGCATTATTTTCCGTGACATCCTCAAAGTACTGTCCATTTCTTAAGTACTGACTGACATACATATCGCCCATCAACTGCTCCACTACCTCCCCGACAATCTGCATACTGATATTCTGTAACTGTACTTTGTTCTATAAAAACAATCGAGTTGGTTGGAAATATAGAGGATGATGTTATTTTATAAAAAGAGCAACAGCCTTCAGTTTGGACCTTTGGATCTTTTTTTTAAATTACAATATCAAATCCTACTGCTACGTCCTGTGATAATGTTATTGGAACAAATTTAACATCCTTTTTGGGATTCTGTACTTAATACACCAGGGTTTTTTGAGTTTGGACCGGGGGAAACTGGCGCGAAAGACAACTTTCCGCTCAGTCCAAACTTTTCCGGTCTACTCAAGAGACTCTCACTCCCAAGGATGATACAAAAAATCTTGACAGGCTTATTAGCCTGTGTACTTTCGTTTCCACCCCTCCCCCCCTACGGGGAAAATTTGCTCCCCGAATTTTCCCCGTATGGGAGAGGAGTGGGAACTGATGTACACAGGCTAAAGGCTTATTAGTGACTATACAATTGGCTAAAAGTAAAGACTTACCATTTCCTTCTGGAGCAGCGGTTTTATTGTGCTATTTGTTGGAACCTAGATTCAAAGACATGAATTTAACTGATATTATGACGTTACTAATACGCCAGGTGCTACTGACAAGCCCGTCGTATAAACGTTTGTGCCTGACAACGCCCTGAACTGAAATCCGGGAACAAAAGGGTATGATACAACTGACAACACTGACGAAAGTCATGGAAGTAGGAAAAAGAGCGCCGTAGAATAAAAACGGAAGTCTGCATGATAAGTGTTCCGACACCGGGTGCAAAGAAATCAAAATCGAAAAGCGAGGGAGAGGATAGTATCATGCAGAGTGCTGCCCTAAAAACTAGTATAGGACAAAGATACCTACCCCGGCATACAGTTGACACAGAATCTCTGTGGTAAGAAACTCACTCATACTCAAACCACTGTGTAAAAAGAGTTCCGCAAAATCAGCCTTGTCGTCGAGTAATGCTGTTATCATTGGTCCTGATAATTGTTCCGTCTAGAAGGACACAAAATAGATATTATTACAAACATTAGTGTGTCTTTTACACTACAGTAGATATTTTGGAGGTGTATTTTTACCGTCCAAAGTCTATCTTCAGTAAAAATATCACTTTTCGCCAAGTCGATTCGATTCCATGCTAGAGCAAGGTTTAACTGCGCCAAAGGACTTGAACGATTTGCTGGTGAAATGAAAAGGGAAGAAAGGAAAGTGAATAAGTGGGATTGAAGCAACGATTGGATAAATTGTCGGAAATTGAACAAAATTTAAGTACAAACCTTTGAGTAATGCCTTTAAAATAGCCAAGTCGATTTCTTGCGATATGGCACCATCTTCAAGACGGTATACAGAAACCTAGAAAAATATTTAGACAATTTTAGATACCTTACCTTCCCCTATACACAAACCATTGTACATTCCCTGATATATATGCACATGATGGGCTACTTGTGGAGTATTCTCCCTTCTCTGCGGCCCATTGACTAAGAATCTAACATGGCCGCCGTGTGAGAATAGACAATACTGATAAAACGTTTGAATTTTTTTTTTATACTTATAAGTGAAGGGATGGTCAAGGGATGGAACATGGTATTACAAAACGTCAGTATTCAAAAAGAAATCGACAAACGATCACATTTTGATTTACGATAAATAATGGACAATTATCAGAATTTGTCCTCACCATTTTTTCGTCTTCCAGTACACACTTGATCTTTTCATATAGACTATTAACACCGCTCTCACCAAGAAATGAAAAAACCTCGTTAACTTTAGACTTTACTTCATCCTCGTACGCGGGATCGATGACTGATATCGTCTGCCCATCAACGCTACAGAACGGATAAATTAATAGTAAGTCAATACTTCAGTTTCGAATACTCCAGTTTCGAGATCTTATTTGTGCAGCCTTAACCTCGAGAGCATGTAATATATTCGAAAACGAGCTTTTCAAGTGAGATCAAGATCTTTTGAGATTCCTCTCCGAAAAAAAATACGACTTCACCATGATTACAGAGTCATGTGACTAAGGTAACTTACGTCTTTTTTACGGTATGGCTGTATGCAAATGCGACTACGTTGGCAGCACGACCACTACCATCAATAACGACAGCGGGGACTTTCTTCTGAATCAATTCATACATCGTCTGGACTGTGTTGGGCCCTCCCTCTAGGACCAGTAGTACCACAGGAACTCCAATCGAACCTGGAATAGAACAAGCATCTCTCATTAGCATATAACATACTATAGGGCACTAAGAGGATGTATTTAGTAGAGGGTCTACTAAGGTTTTGTGGTAGATATGTCCCTTTGGAAACTAACTGTAGTCAGAAGAGGGACTGKAAACGGTCTGCGCRCGCAAAAGAAACAACTGAAAGATGTCCGACAGAAAAACAGGAAAAAGTAAGAGGACAGACTGACCTGCTTTAGAACGCGAATCGGTTTTCAGTCCCATAATGCCTTCCTCGACACGTGACCTTAGGCTTATCTCGACRCCATATTTGCCCTTAGTTCCGTTATCAACCAATARGAAATGAGAGTGATTTGAATCCAGCATCGCCCCACTAAACCCTGGTGTTGGCTCCATACTGTAAACAGCTGGATATCGGCCACTGGCGCCCTTTAATAGAATAGTTAGTTATTATAGTAAGAAGACCTTACCCTACCACGTAGACATTGGAGGAAAATTTCTAACCTATTTGAATGTTAACTGACTTCAAACCTAACTTCCAAAAAGTGTTAATGGTTAGGCTCTGCGCTATTTTTTACATTAAAAGGAAGTTAAAAGCCTTCCTTATAGAGGTGTGAGGAGGATTGGGAGTGTCTGAAAGAAGTTTCAATAAAGAACACGCAATGTTTTATTGTTCGCACCTTTTCTTGTATAAGAGAATTCTGTTTGTCTACAATCCCCCATGATGCAATACCAATGACGTGAACTTCCGAATCCGACCCCAGCATCAACTGTTGCTCTTTAACAGCCTCCCCTACGTGCTTCATAACGCCAGTATTGGTTCCGCCTTAAAAATAATCCATCAAAATATTAAATAAATAGGCTAAATACGGTTACATGCATTCTGTTATAAATTTGTACGTAATGATACTTTTACCGACTTAACGTATCACTATCATCATAGACAGTATTGTTCAGATCATTACTAAAACTTTCCAAATTTCTATAATCTATATAATATTAAATCACTAATCAATTAATTGGTGAAATTTCTAGGAAGTACCAAGTTCTTTGACATCAATAAGTCCATATTGCTTCAAAATGGCCCCTCAGTACTATGGGGAAATTATTATATGGATAATCTAACTTCTGTGGTGTTCTTACCAGTAATAATCCAAGCACCCGTTGTCTTAGCAGCCTTCACCAAACCTCGTCGAAAGACCTCCTTTAACCGAGGCTTCAGAACAAAGCTTTTTGCACCACCCGTCACAGATATTACCAAGTTTGGAACCTCTAGGTTCCATCGTTTTAACATCAGATCCAGTACTTTATTCGCATCTGTATCGTGCGATAGACGGACGTACTACAGTTTAAGAACACAGAGAATTAATCAGCTTTATTGAAAACAGGTAGCTTTAGTTTAAAAAAGCAGCAACAAAGTTTCCAGAGACAAAGACCTCAGCACATCAGTTAAGCTCAGGAAGCTCGAATTACCCGAAGTTAAACAGGTTAACCTGTGTAATTACGCACATGTTTTCACCAGGAAGACGACAACAACAACAACAAAAGCAGCAACAACAACAATAGCAACAACAACAACAACAAAAGCAACAGCAACAACAACAATAGCAACAACAACAACAAATGCAACAGCAACAATAACAACAACAACAAAAGCAACATCAACAACGACATCAACAACAACAACAATAGCAACAACAACAACAACAAAAGCAACAGCAACAACAACAATGGCAACAACAACAACAAATGCAACAGCAACAACAACAATGGCAACAACAACAACAAATGCAACAGCAACAATAACAACATCAACAAAAGCAACATCAACAACGACATCAACAACAAAAGCAACAACAACAACAAAGGCAGCAACAACAACAACAACAACAACAACAACAGCAGCAATAACGACAACAACAATTAAGTACCCACCGGTGATCTATTCTGGCTACCAGTTCCCTGAAACTCCACCTCGCCATAAGCATTCGTGGGCAACTGCCTCGTGAAGCGGTCTGGGTTCCAGTCTGTCGCAGTTGTGTCATGTCCTAGGGCTTTGCTAGTATGCTTCGATTTTGCACGACCGCACTGGCAATCGGGATCTCTGTAATGAAATAGTTTCAAGTATGAAAACAACTTGCTGAGCCTTTTAGACAAAACAAGTTTTTTTTTTTTTACTTTATTTTGTCGAGGCCTCTCCGGGGTGTTTTCTCGGGACGGGGAGTTAAAATAAATATACGTTAAATACCAATAGGCTAGTTATCGTTTCCTGTAAAATTACGTCAACTGACATTACAACTACAGCTCTGAGTGTCTGTCACAACGAGCTGTCAGAATATAGACGCTATATCACCACATGCAATGACATTATTGATAAGATTGGTGGTTATCTTTGGCTAAGAGTGTTTTGAGCTTTGCCCTGATCAAACGTTTTCACCACAAACATGAAAAAATGTATACTTACGGGCCATCTGGTTTCTTTGGGTTAACTATGAAACGGATACACTCCCTTCTTGAAAACGTAGATGCTATCCAACTCTTTTTGCTATTCTAAAAAAAAAAACAAGATAGAAAATATTCAAAGAAATTGTTTATTAAGTTGCTCTTCTACATCGTCAGCTTAAACGACAATATATTTTTTGCTCCTTTTCAATAATTTCCATGCGATTCAAAAGACAAAAGATCGGCGACCATGATGGTTGAATGAATAAATACTAATGAGAAATCCTTTGTTGAAGCTTAAGATATATTGCAAACGAAGAATAGGTTGCTTACGCACCTCCCTCCCACGCACCCCCTTCATCTCCTCCTCGAAATCCCGCGGTACAGAGCGTGAAAAATAGACTCTAAATAAACAGCTTTTATCATTGCAATTTTATCATGCAAGCCCTAGGCTGCATTTAGTCTTACACGAATGTGTATATGATTATCGTTTTATTTTTAAAATATGACTGTCGTTCTCGGTGGTTACGAGTCAACAATACAACGAACTCGTGAAAAACACATGAAAAACAAGCGAGCAATATGAAAATTCGAAATCGTACTTTGCTCTGATCGCCTTGTTAGTTTAAACAATTCATTTATCTATCAATTAAAAAACTGATAGATAAATAAATGTAAATTAACTTCAAAAACTTTTAAAGTAGTCCGTCTTCATGAATTGAGATATTTTTTTTTCAAATATTGCGTGAAAACTAAGTTAAAAAAGTCGTTTTTATCCGCACCAAAATGATTTAGGATATTTTTATAGTTCAACGTAGGAATTCAATCGGATCAATAGTAATTATCAATGCATTCTTCAAATAACTATCAATCACTTTTGACTTTTGACAATATTTTGTGAACTAATATGAAAGTACATTTTTGATAAATGCTGAAAAAAGTGACTGTAAAAATCAGTTGGTTGATGATTGAACCTGACACAAAGTATATTTTTCCGAACTAAAACCACAGAAGTTTAAACAAATGACGATACGAATCATTGAATTAGGAAAGAATGTTCTTGAATTTTTATTCAAATAATATAGGTGCTTTTCTGATAAAAAATAAAAAAAATATGTGATGATAATGAATGGGAATGAATGAACAAAGAAAAAAAAAGGAGAGATTCTCAGTTACTCTGTCAACGCGCCAAAAGAATYTTTCCAGAAAAAA